GAAGAATGCATGCAATGTGTTAATTATTGAAACTGTCCTACCAATTTGGTTTGAAACTATCTCATTGCTATTTGTTTCTCAATAAAATTATGGGGAAAATAAATAAATAAGAGTTCGACAAAAAATAATAATAATAAAAACTACAGCTTCTACTGAGTGCATATTGTTTTCTCATCATGATAAAACTGAAAAATTTGAAGTCAACATTTGATACTTTGGGGATCATACTATATGACAAAGAACATGTATGCAGACTATATGAAAAACTCTTACAAATCCATAATAAAACCACAAATATCTCGAATTTTTAATATACAAACATTTGAAGAAAGACTTTACAAATAAAGATAAAAAACAGAAAATATACATGTAAAAAGTGCTTATCTATCATTAATCACACACAAAACAATGTAACTTGCAACTACAGTCAAGCCAGACATGGTGACACACACCTGTAATCCCAACACTCAGGGGCTGAGGCAAAAGGATAGTGAGTTTTTAAGGCCACCCTGGATTACCTAGCAAATTTAAGGCAATCTAGGCTACAAAATGAGGCCTTACCAAACATCAACAACAAAGCAAGAGGACAGGGAAAACATAATCAAATACCTTTTTAAAACCATTATAATGCCTAAACTTTAAAAAGACTGACATAACCAAATCTTGCAATGTTGAAGAGAAACAATGAAAACTCTGAAACATTGTGAACAGGAACATAAGAGGATAGAACCACTTTGCAAAACATCTGATAATTTCTTTCACAGCTATCCCAAGCCTGATGTGACAAGTGCACTCTTCTTCCTGGTCAACCAAGGAAAATGAGGATATACATTGAACGAAAACCTGTGCAACATTATCTGCAGCAAGCTCATTTTATAATAGCCAAAAGCAAACAAGCAAATAGCCAGTCACCCACAGTCAAATTGCACAATAGGTATACAATAGGATAGTACAAAACCACAGAGAAGAATGCAAAAACTGATACACATAAGATGGTGAATAAAATTATGTTAAAAACATTAATGCTGGCTGGAATAAAAACCTACTAAAGACTAATGAATTATTCCATTTATATGACAGTCTAGAACTTGTGAGACTAATCTACAACAAAGCTACCAGAACAGTGGTTGCTTAGGATGGGCCAGGTGTCAGGGTGCACACCTGCAGTCCCAGCATTTGGAGGGCTGAGGCAGAAAGATCACACCGTACATTTGAGACCAGCCTGAATGACTCAGTCCATTCAAGGTCAATCTGAACACAAAGTGAGGCCATGTCTCAAAAACAAAACAAGCAAAAAAAGCAGTGTCTTCTCATGAAGGAAAAGTAACCACCAGAAAGCCTAAGAAAACTTTGGAGGGTAACTGTTTGACGCCTTCTAAATAGGGTAATGATAACATGAGAATTTACACTAACTGAAGCATATGTTTAAAATATGTGCACTTCAATGCATCAATATTACCTCCAAAGGAATAAATTGCTTTATTCTTTTGCTTCAGAAGTAGAAAATGCAGAACACATTATATGATAGCCTGCATGTAGCATAAAATGGTTATTTTTAGAAAGCATACTAGTTTATTCATTCAAAGTCATATAGAAAGGCATAAATTTACATATGATCCTTTAGTTCAGGAATACAAAGAGGTCTGAGTTTGAGTATTCTGAAAGCAGTTATTGGCAAATTATAAATAACGTCTTGCATACATACATAAATATCTTATAGGGAGGTTCTCTTTAAATGAGACTTGCCAAAGTAAGCATGAGTGGACCAAATGAAGAGGTGAAACACAAATCAGCGATGCTAGGAATGCAAAACCTGCTCAGTCAGGAGCTGGGGACACAGCTCAGCGACACAGCACTGCCTGGTAAGAGGGAGGTCATGAGTTTGAAACTGGTACCAAATTAAAAACCTTCCTTATTCATAACTATCTTAATCTTAGGAATAAAAGTGACCTGTTAATGTGTTTCCTACCAAAAAAGTATATATAATTATTATTGCTGATAAGCAGATGACAGTAAACAATATAAGTAATGGTGACAATAATTTATATGAAAAATGGTTATGTTAATTACTTACAACTTCTATCTTCAATCAAATCCAACAAAGAAAATGTAATACATCCCACAGTCAACTATTTTGCAGCAGTGCCTACAACTATAACGCTAGTTTTTATACTCTATTAGTAAGTACAATAAGTTTTAACTCCAAGTGGATTAAAATGAGACTTTCATGGGAACCTCCACAAATGCATAAATGGATAAAAGGATATACAGTGTATCACTGACAGTATTTAAGCAGATCACTTAACGTTATGGTTTGTGTCTAGATGTCCACCCAAAGCCTCATGAAGTCAAGGGACAGACTTGTACAGTTTGGGATTAACTCATGATCCACTGGGATTATGGGTGTGAGTATTGCTGAGATTATGGGTGTGAGTGCTACACTCAGCCTGGGGCAGATGGCCTGAACACAACTGAGACAGACTTGCTCTCTGTAGCCATTGCTGCCACTACTCCTCCCTTCTGTTCTTGCTTTTCTGCTGCCCTCTGCAGCCATGAACTGCTGCCCTCTCCCATGTGCCAGTCTGCCTTGGAGCCAGCTGAGCATGGACTGAAACCTCCACTAACTGTGACCTAAATAAACCTTTCCTTCCTTCACTTTGAGTGTTGGGTATTTTTCCCAGCAACAAGAGAACAGTAACTGAGACACTTAGCCTTTTATTTTTAAAATAAATGAAATACAATTTTAAAATTTAATTGATCAATCCATTCTGGCATGTTTTAGCCTAAAGCCCACCTCACAAAATAGAAGATAACGTTTCATACAGATACAGATGCACATATATACCCCATCTGTGCATGTGTGTAGACAGATCTAAACAAGTTTGAAGAGGCTCTCAAGAAGTTTCAAGTTTTTAAAGAATTACACAGGCAATCTGTTTTTCTAGCTGCTTACAGAGAGCATACCTGTGCCCTCTTCTGCACCTCCAGCAAAAGTTCAGAATACTGCAGTTCCAGTTCCTTCTTTTGCTTGTGCCAGCAGCTCTCCTGGGCTTTGATCTGTTCTGCCACTTTGGTGAAGGTATCTTCCTGGGTCTGTTGAAGCTCTCTCATTGTATCTGACTTGTTCTTACAGATATACTCTAGATGGCTGACCTACAAAGAATGAGATACTGCTTAAAAAAAAAAAAAAAACTTGGTTACAACACCTTCCCAAAATACACCCAAATTCTTCTATTATACCTTATTCCTAAAGATCATACAAAAACTTTAAGTGAGCATGTACACTTAGGAAATAGGACTTAGTGCTCAAAGCACCACAACTCATAAGAGCTAAATCTCAGAAGCAGCCTGTGTGCCCAAAACCAGATGAACAGACAGAGAGAACGTGTTGTCATATACATCCGAGGGAACATGACTGTGCAACGGGAAGGAGGAACCCTGAGTCTGTGCAGGAAGGAAACACACCCTAAGACCATAACACTAAGTGAGACACATCAGAAACACAAGTTTAAACACTGCATGAGTTCTTGAATGCGAGCAACCCAAAATATACATAAACGAGTACAGAAAAACAGAGAGACAGATCCCGTGCATAAGAGGAGGGGACCAGGAGATGCAGGTAGAGGAACGGAGGAGGGGAAAAGGGAGGAGAAAGGGAATAAGGAGCCCTGTGTGCAGGCATCAACTCCTGAGAGAATGCAATCATCAGGTTCCATAAAAGCATTCTAATAAAATAAAATAAAATTTAGTTTTAAAAAGGCAGCCAAGGGCCTGTGGAGATAGCTCGGTGGTCTAAGCACCTTCCTGGCAAGTGCAAGGAGCCAGGTTCAATTCCCAGTACTGCCTGCCATGTAGGCCCCAAGATGTGCACTGGGCCCCCAGCACTGGGAAGGCTGAGACAGAAGGATTATTACAAGTCTGAGCTGCATAGGGAGACCCTGTACCAAATAAATAAATAAACATATCCATACATACATACATGGATTTCTTAAAACTTTTAAAGAAAGACAGCCAAAAACAGAAACAGAAATTAACAGGTTAAATTATCCTATCTTGGCAAAAAATGGAGCCTTGTGTAGTTAAGACAAGTTTTCTATTCTTTTTCTCTAATGAAGTTACTCATCCTGAAATCAATTTTTCTGAGATGATTTCAGATAGATATTCCTATTTCTAGAACCAAAGCTTAAACTATTGAGATATGTCAACGGGAAAGGAAGTGTTGAAATGAGATTCACAAATCTGCAGACATTTTTACATATAATGAATGAACCAAAATGTTCTATTTTTCTAAGTCACAACTAAAAAAGAAAATCCTTATCTTCTAAAATGTAGAACAGGGCCGGGGAGATGGCTCAGTGGAATAAGCGCTTGCCTGGCAAGCACAAGGGCCTGAGTTCAATCCCCGGTTCCATAAATAAATAAATAAATAAATAAATAAATAAATAAAATGTAGAACAATCAATGATGTTCTGAAACTCTGAAAACCTATTAAAACCATAATGCCATCTGTCACATGGTGAATACACACCCACTTTAATTACTGGTTATTTCAACCCATTATAGACAGACTGAGAATCACAGACAGCATCTCTATTTCTCACAAATGATTCCCTCATTTCTCAGCTTCATTCTCAGTGCCTATGATTGTGCTTGCCAAGAGAATCAAGGAAAAAAGGCTTAAGGATAAGAGCTCTCACCTTAAAACCAGGTTGTTTTATTAGTTCAGTAGACATTAAAACACAGAAAGAGACAGACACACAGACACACAGACACAGACAGACAGACAGACAGACAGACAGACAGACAGACAGACAATATATGTTTTTCTTCCTCTCTAAGAACAAATGTCACTGTAATTAAGACCTGGAAACTAGACTTCATAAACACAATCCTGACCAGTTCAACAGAACAAGATAAGAATCAGTATCTTTAACAGTGACATATGTTGATCTATTAATCCATTTTTATTTTCCATTGCCAAAATCAGGGTTTTTTCTTTTTCAGAAAAAGACTGCATTCCTAGCTTTGTGAAATGGTAAAGTGACCAAAAAAGGTCTATTGCTTTGTTCTTACAAGATAGATATCTTACATTCTACAATACAGACGATGTTTTCTTAAACACAGTTTGCTGCATTTCCAGAAACAAGTCATGTACATATAATTTAAATTTTTCTAAGTGCTTTTAAAATAACACCTCATTTTTCCTAAGCAATGAATTTTAAGATAATGTTTTTGAATAACTGTATCCTGTTTCTATTTTACACTAACATAAAGAGTTGGTTTATTAATGTAAATGACTAAGTTCTTTGAATCGCTTCATCAGTAAGATTAATTTATTTTCTTTTAATTAGGTCCCTGTGGCTGATACTGGCTAGCAGTATTAGCATGTCCTGCCCAGAAAGTGGAGCTCAGAGACTTCATACAGACTTCAGTCACATTTACATGCCCACAGCAATGGCATCAAACTGAGTTGTAGACAAGCCGTAATTAATGGTATTGAATTATTAACATCCAAATTCTTTTTGAAATAAGATGAATGTCAGCCCCTCTTAATGATACTGTGATGTGGACAAATGTCACTGAATTTAATAGAGGTATCTGGTGCCTGAGGACAGTTACCTTCTCATTAGCCCTGCTGAGGTCTGCAATGAGGGCATCAACATTCTCCTGCAAGACCGCACAAAGCTCAAGCCAAGAGAATTTATCCAACATGCCTTCTGGTTGTTTCATGAGCACACAGCCTGCTACCAAGTGCTGATAGAGAGTATGAAGGAAGGTTAGCTTCTCCTGCAGGAAAAAGACAAATTAATTCCTTTATATAAACACTATAAGAAGCAAAGCACATAATACAAACAGTGAAAAATTTATTTCTAAAATTCAGAAACTGAAATACTCAAATATTGTCATTTAAATAACATTTTCACATATAAAACCAAGCATTATGGAATACTTGACATTGTTTACAGTTGGAGTCCAAAACCAAACTCTAATGTCTGAAAGCCAAAAGACCATGTTTCTGACCCCTTCTTTGCTCCTGGACAAGAACGTGATCTGAGTAAGCATCTGTTCAGGCCCTAGGCTTCCTTAGCTGGAAGACCAGCTGTCTAGAAGAGCTGTTTATAAGCCTTCTAGCTGGAAGTCAACACGGCGGTTCTATAATTTCTTATTTACATTTACCAAAACAGATGTTGAGTCCAAAAGCAATGTAGAGAAAATCACCATTCAGTTCTGATGAAGAACGTCTCTCTACTCCACATGTGCACGATTACTCAGCTTCTTCCTGATCCAGGGCTTCCACTTTATTTCCCACTTATAGGAAATCTTTTCTAACAGGCTTAGGCAAAGCAGATCATAATATAAAGACATGGAAGAGAGGGTCATTTATTTTTCTCCACTAACCAGTTTATGTATTACAGTTTTTGACACATTGGGCATTTGTAGGGCTTAAAATATTATAAAGTAACAGGCCAAAAAGAGTGGATATGGCTTCCCAAGTCATATTTCTGAAAATGTCCAGTGAGAAATATGTGGGGGAAAAGCCAGGCATGGTGGCACGTGCCTATAAGCCCAATACTCACGAGGCTGACGCAGGAAGATTGCCATGAGCTTGAGGCCAACCTGGGCTACATAGATAGTTCAAGGCCATTCTAGGCTACATAGTCGGTCTCTTTCAAAAAGCAAATAAATAGATAAGTGAAAAAGCCCTTTAAAAGTATAGAATTACTACAGTTACTGAGTGATGTAAAATTGTTTCTATGTTCTAGAACACAGTATAAAGCTGATCCTATCACAGAAGCAGCATTTGTTTACCCAAGGCCAAATGATTCTCTCGATAAGCTATACTGTCTATAAAGTCCCAAAGCACATAACTCAAAGACAGCTGTAAACCTGCAAACTGAGTATTTTATGTGGACAAAAGAAGTTCCCTCAACATGTTTTAATAGATCAGCAGGCAAAGAAAACTTTGAAAAGAGGAAAATTTATCAGAAAAGCATTGGAAATTCCAATCTTCTAGATTAAATAACAGCAACAACAACAAAAATCCTGAATACAGGGGCCAGGGAGATGGCTCAGTGGAATAAGTGCTTCCCTGGCAAGCACAAGGGCCTGAGTTCAATCCCTGGTTCAAAAAAAAAAAAATTCTGAATATAGCATATACAAAGGTTTTGACCTTAGAAAGTATAGGGTTAGTTTTCCTAAACTTTTCAAAACATGTATCATTAATTCACTCTGTGTGCTGCCTCGCTTTTTTCCAAATATAATAATCTAAAGGCCAGATTTCTAAATGTAGCTAAGACCACAAATTTGAGTCAAGATATCAAAAGATTTTTTTTATAAATGTATTGCCCCTAAGCATTGTCCTTTTATAAGCAGTTAAAGATGAGTTTTCCTCCCTTTTTTTTTTTCTTTCAATACTAGGAATTAAAACCAGGGCCTTTGCCCTAAGCAACGTGGCCAGGCCTTTTTGTGACAGGGTCTTGCTAAATCCATTGTTTTTTGGGTTGTGTTTATTTGTTTGTTTGTATCCTGAGACACGGTCTCATTAACTCCTAAATTGAGCAGGCTGGGCTCAAAACTGTAGTTCTGCTGCTTCATCCTCCCAGAGGCTGGGATTATGGTCATGGCCACCACTGCGGGCAGCTCTGCATTTTTGACTGGGCTGAGGGGCACACAATGTTTATTAAGTACAACTACCGAAACGTGATATTTGAGCACCAAAGTCTGCTTGTCCATATTTTTTTCAAGCGATCATGTTCGTCTTCAAGGACGCTCATCCTGGAGGATAATTTGCTGTGTCGCCATTATGTCCTTTTTGCTTGGGCTGTGATAAGCCAAGCATAATAATCATGCATTTGGCATGAAAAGAAAGTGACAAGATCCAAAATCAATTCACACATGTTGAACTCAACCACGCTATAGCCACGCTGACTTTACAGCACAGTCAGGCTTCTAGTTTCCTCCACTTTAATCACTATCTGATGTGGAGAACAATTCCAGCCACTTCATGTGGACGCAATTTAAATCCCAGACAGTAAGAAGAGTGGAAAGAATGTTTGTTTCCTTTTTATTCCCTTGGCATTTGTGCTCATATTTGTTGGAGTAATGAACTCAATATGCAGGACAGTTTGGATAAACTGGTTCCACTAGGCACACCAGCTCTCTACTCGAGTAAAAAATATAACAATTTCAGTTGCACAGGTTCATCCAGAATATAAAAATTTTGTCATAATACTTTAACAAGCCATTAATGGATAAAAATGGACAGACAGCTGTCCAGGACATCCAAATGAAGTTTTGTTTGCATAGAACTACTTCTTTTCTGGTTTTTATTACTACCCTATAATTATAGAGACTAAGAAGACTGTCTACTAAAGTAGGCATTACTCCGGTTGTACAAATAAACAGAGATATAGAGAGATTACACTGTGTGGCTCATCCAGATATATTTGATTACCAAAAAAAATTATACAATAGCAACCTGCAGAGCTACTGAAACAAAAACAACGTTGCCACTGGGACAGTGAGGAGCATAGTAGCTTGAAATATGATAACCTAAAAGCTTCATAGTCCAAGTGACAGAGGGCTGAGTTATATTACTTTTCTCACAAAGGAGGATGACAAGCAGAATGGAATGGCTGATTTGCAGCTGCCATCTCAAAACACTCAACTCAGAGCAACTTTTTTAATTAAGTATGAATGAAAACAGTCACTTGACGGAAGTAAGCGCATAGACCAGCGCGCTGGGCGGCGCTGCCAGCGACTCAGGCCCCTGTCCCACCGGTGGCGTACCTCAGTGTCCTTGCGGAAGGCCTGGGAAAGCCTCTGCAGCTCGCTGTCCCGCTGGGCGGCGCGGGACTTCTCCTCCTCCCAGCAGCGCAGCACACGCTGCAGCTCTACTTTTAAAGTGCTCACCAAAGCCTCCCGGTCTGCACACTGCGTGCGTAAGTGACTTAGCTCTTTACAGGCTTCAGCCAGTTTGTCTTGAAGCTCCTGTCAGATACCAAATGGAGGTGGTAAGAGCCCCCAACGAAAAGGCGCACACATAATGGAAACTTTCACAGCTTTAATATGAAATGACAAAGCATTTGCTTTAACAATAAAGTATTTTGCTGAAAGTATTTTCTAAGTATAATATTTTAGCTCAAACATTACAAAACTTGTTTTATTTGAACATGTGTACAAAATGTTAATAAGATGTTCATTCCAAATAACTCTTTAAAGGCAGTTTTGCTTTAAACTCATTATAAAAACAATCTGATAGTTCAAAACATTTTAATAATATTTGAACTCTTTATATCTCTTGACATTTACTATAAGAACTTTTTTCCAATGACATTCCAAGCACTAATAAAAAATCTCAAGTATGTGGCATTAAATTCAGCTGAGCTATTCCTTAACCTTACCAAATCTATTGAAGTGTGTCCATGACAAACTAAACAAGAACCAACACAATAAAACTGCAACAATATTGTGGAACTAAAATTGTGCAAAGACACAGGACCTAAAACTAGCACAGAAAACTTTCTTTCTGGACCTTAGCCAGCTGTGTTCTCAACTCATTACCAAATGTGAAGAATTACAAGCAGCCCCATCCTAGCATGATGAACACTGACTCCAAATATAAGTGTACTTCTGTAAAATGTATTTAACATGTGCAGGTATCTAAGGCAGGAAGACGGTAAATCTCAAACTGTTTTTAAAGCTGTATTATAATTACATTAGACAAATCCATTTTTTTCTTTAACCAAACTAATTTGTGATCAAGTTTTATTTTTTAACTGAAAAACTGTTACTCTGATCAACAAAACATTAAAATACATAATAATAAATTTTATAAATAGGAATATATACTTTCAGCTATCTCTAAAATATTCCCAAAGTAAGTATATTTCTTCTTAACAAAAAAAATGAAAACATCCTTATCATACTACCTTTATATTTTTAGTATGCAATTCAATCTTCAGTTTGGTAGAATCAAGTTCACTAGATGCCTTTTCCTTAGCATCATTCATGTTGTTTAGCTGATTAAAAAAAAAAAGTAACTTTTTTATATTTCTCCAGAATGAGTAAGTCAAAAGCCAACCTTTAAATGCTTTTTGTGCAATTGCTTAACTACACACTTCAACGGTAATTAAGAGCCTTATAACATTCTTCTTCTGGCTAAATACTATGTATTCTCTGTCAAAAGCTCACATGACTGAAAAGAAAATAAAGCATTCTTAAAATGTCAGCAACATTATTGAATTTTTACTAGATGTCTGGATAAAGGATTCCACTCTTACTGTAAACAAATATAACTTTATTCTGAAAATCCTACTGGACCAAAATGCCAGAAGCAGTGATATCTACAAGGAAAGAAAAAAGCACAAAGCCGAAGACTGTTTTTCTACACATCACGAGGGTATTCACTGGGCTCTCTCTCCATACGACAACTTCAGGGTCAGTCACATGCAGTCCTACGGGGGAAGGCTTGTGGCAGGTCATCAGTTGGTCCTGCACCACTCGTGATTTATTTTCTTTGACAGTTCATTCTTCTTTCTGTCAGACTGCTCTTTCTGCTTTCTTTGCAGCCACCCCCTTGGTCTCCCCACTGCTGTCTCTGGCACTGGTTCACAACAAAGCACATTACTAAGCCAAAGCCTGCTGAGTCGACTTTTCAACTGTGCTGAGGATCATGTGACATTCATCCTCCAAATAACAATTCGCTGTGGGCAATATGTTCCTAGTTACCCTGCAGCTTCCAGGCCTGGGCCTCAGAAGAGTCTCATAAACTACTAGCAATACAGGTCATCTTGTCTCACAAGGAAAGACTTAGCAATGCTTCTTCTTCACGGAAACCTAATTATTTCAGTTGGTTACTTTCTGTTTCTCCACTTGAATATTTACATAGAGCATCAAGATAACTGTCTTCTTCTCCTTTGTTCACCCTACTTAACTCAAATGGGCTTCTATAAAAATGTGAAAATAATGGTCACAGATTTTGTCGTATATGTAAGAAACACTGAAATTTTTGCTTTGTGACATGTCCTCAGCTGAACAATCTGTTTTGCTAACTAATTGTATTTAATGTAACTACTTCAGATGCTAATATGACAAGATATAAGTAGACAAACTCTTTAATTCTTAAAGCATAAATTCATAAAATACTTTAATACCCAAGAAAATCATCAACTCGCAGATTAAACAATACAATGAGATAGAAGCATAAGCTTTTTCAATTAGCAAACTAAAAGCTGCCAGGCTACATCAAAAGAATATTTGTTTTTAAAAACTTCTAACAATACTTCACTCCCTTTAGAGAATGAAAATAATTACTCTCTTCTATTATGACTTCCATAGTTTCTCAAACATTTTGACAAGACTTAAATTTCCACTAGCTATTCCACATCAGAAAACACATTAACATCTTAAAAAAACATGTGTTATTTAAATGATTTGAACAGCTTTCTTATTAAATTAAGAGATAAATTAAGAAGTACCAACATCTTTATAACTTTGAAAATAATAATGTGCCTGAAGAGTTACAAAAAAATAAGTGTGAGACTACATTAAGCCATACGTACAGAAAGAACGGTGACAGACAATTTTTTTTTTTTTTTTTTTTTTTTTTTTTTTTTTTTTTTTGTATTTGTGAGGCTGTCAATTCAACATTCCAATCTTTTCGACCTTTGTAACAAGCAAGGGATACGTACTGCTACAGGCCGAAGGCTATAGCGTGGAGCCAAACACTGCAAGTGTTACCTCATTAGACGCATCTTCCAGCTTGCTCTGGTAATCTGTCAAGGTACGCCTCAAAGTCTCAAGGACAACAGAGAAGCTGGGAGGTTTGTCTTTGTCCTTGTGGATGCCTAGAGAAAAACACAGGATGAAAATATACCCTTAAAGTCACATAGGCACAAAAGACAAGCAAACAATAACTGAGATACTGCAATTAGATGAAGCAGAAAAGACATAATGGAACACTAAGTAGAATTTTATTGTCCAAGTACAATGCTATATAGCCAACTATTAATTAAATTAAGGTTTCCAAGTTAAAGATCATAACACACAAAGTTAAAATTCATGGCTACTCTCTACCTAATCACAATCCATATGATAGTAATTTACTCTTCTAAGTAACAGCAGTGTTTGAATATAACTGTTGTCTAACAATATAGTGAATATACAAACAGTGTTTTGGGGAATTACACAAGCTGACTAGGCTTTTGTGTTTCTGATCAGGCCTTTCATAAAGTACTATTTTACTTAAATAATTACTTCTGAACCCAAGAGCATATAATTGTTCATGATGCTTGGAAATGACCTTTGATCGTTATAATTCTCAAATTACAATTTAAAATAAACAATAAAAATGCTATTATCTACATAGTCCACATCATGTTTCAATTAAAAATTTTTAAGACTGATATCTATTACAAAAATGAGTACTTCCATGTATGCCCTCAGAGTAATGCAGTTTGGCCAGAAGTTAAACTAGCTGAGCTAATCAAAGGTCACACAGTCAAAAAAAAATTCCAAATATTAATCCAAAATAATCAAAAGTTGAGTTTCAAAAATCACTTTAAATTGATTTCTCTATTTTATTATTCTTTACTACTTTACTACTCTAACCTTTAGTATTCAAAAATAAGTACCAAACTTAGCTTGAAATCATTCCCACTAAAAATATTAATTTCCTGATATCCCTTCTCCCTACATTTTATAATCTAAATATTTCAACATATAACAACATATTTTTGACAAAGATAATTATAAAAAGCATTAATAATATGCATTTTTTTATTGATTCATCCAGTTCATGCACTGAATTCCAACTGTGTACTACTCTGAGGCATTAGGCACATGGAGGCAAACTGCATCAGTGTGGGCTCTGTCCACAGCCAATGTACAAACTAATAAGAAGGTGACACATAAATGAGATCATTCATCCATTTTTCAAGTATTCTAAGACTATAATTTGTAGGACACAGAAGAAGAGACGATAATAAAAGAAAAAAGAAAAAATTACCAGTTAAGAATAGACCAACTTTATTCTTCTTAGGTTACATTAATCTTGGGAAAACCTTAGTAATTTTATGATATACTTAATCACTATTTTAAATATGAATACAACAGACAATTTTTAAATATAAGGATAATATTTGACCTACAGACCAAAAGTAATATGGAAACACTTACTTTAGCTAAAAAGCAAATACACAGCTCTGAGCCATGCAAGAGCTAATACTCTCTGTAATGACTATGAGCAAGAAAGACAACTCATTAAAAATTTCACTACAAGTCTTACCAAATATATATTTTTAAATTGTTCTCTTGCATAAGGTAAAAGTAATGTATAATTCTTTTCTTTTGCCACCACACAAAGTAGGTCATGAATAAATCATTCAAGGACACTCAGAAAGTCTGCTGGTTGTTGTAATAAAGGAAAAAACTTCCTCTCAGAAATTTGGAAGAATAAAGTCATCTTAGAATGAGTGTTGAGGAGCATGGGGACAAAATAACCTCTCCTTAATGACCCATGCACACTTTTACTAAATAAAAATTACATTAAATTAAATTAAATCTACATTAGTTTTCTTGATTGAAATACATATACAATGAAGTTTACTGTATGTACACTGTATGCCTTATGTCCTGCTAATATGCATTATTTAAAAATATTTCCTGATCCTTTAACATGACAAAAGGCTAACAAATACAGAGTTCTCTGAACCAAGAACCTTACTTACTGATTTAGTTAAAGTTGATGACATTCTAATCAGGGTATTATGGCCCAAATACAACAGACTATTAAAAGTATCCTATCAGAAAAAGATTTTAAAACTCACTAAGTAAACCTTTAGAAAAATATTTGATCAACAGTAATAAATGGCTTTTCAAAAGTCAAATTCAAATGAAGAATAGACAAGTGAGGCAGGGACAGTATCTGTAATTTCAGGGAGGCTGAGGCAGGAGAATCTTGAGTTCTAGGCTAGCCTGGGCAACGCAACAAGACCTTGTCTCAAAATAAAAACTAAGTAAAGGCCTAAGAAAATTTCTCAGGGGTAGAATGTTTGCCTAGCCTGGGTCCAATCCCCAGTACAAGAAAAGAAAACTCCAATCAAACTCTGGTTTCTGCCTCCTCCGGGTAAGCAGCAGCCAGCCTATGCTTTCACTTCACCACTCCCTGCTTCACCTTCTCCCTCACTTTCAATGAAGAATCCACTCTCACTCTACTGGGCAAATCCTTCAATTGGCAGCCCACAAGAAGGAGTGGGGTAAGAAAATGTTCCAAGCACCTGTGCTTAAATATCTCCTTCAGACCGTCTCGAGCACTACACCTGTTTACGTGGCTCATGTCACCCACCATGTTTCTCAAGCTGGTGTTGCTGCTTCAGCAACTTATAACTCTGCAGTGGAATGACAGAGGTGAACCTATCTCCGAGACCTTCTCAATCATCCTCTTACCTATTTCTATCTCCTGCAAGACCCAAAAAGGAAGGAATTATTTTAAAATAGACATAATTGGCTGGACATGGTATTCAATGCCTGTAATCCCAGCCCTCGAGAGGATCACCACAAGTTTGAGGCCAGTCTGAGCTACATACTAAGTTCAAGGCCAGCCTAGACTATACACCGGGACCCTATTTCAAAATAAAACAGGGAAAAAAAAATATCTGGATAAAACATGATTAGTCTCATACATCCTCGAAATAGATGAGGAAATTTTTTTGTTGCTTAATATTTTTTATCATATCTTAGAAAAAAAGAAAAAACATTCAAATGGTTCCTATTTTCACCTGACAAAAAAGGAAAAAACATTTGTCATATAATACTTTGAAAACTGAAAATTCCTTTCATTCTAAAAGTCCTAACTTGCTGGCAGTTAACTTTTCAAACTCAGGCAAAATCTGCATATTAACTCATCTTATTCACTGATGTCATAATAAAGATCTTTGTGTTCTTGCAAGCCTTGGTATCTATTCTGGAGTGTGTAAAGAAAATGGCTTATAGTTTTTCTAATACATAGAAAGTACTTATTATTATACAAGTGTTGCTCGTCTGCTACGTATGTCCTTTGAGAAAGTCAAGAAAAATTGCCTTTACCAAGGCTCAAGAAATATACTGGTGGGAGAAATCAACGCCTCCCTGCACTCCGTGTGCCTAGAAAGCCAAGAATAATGTAGGAAACAGTGCTAGCCAACCAGGCGCCACCAATTCAAAAGGAATGCTGGACTCTGGGTAATACAGGCCACATATAACACTTAAGCACCAGCAGCCCAGTGGACATGGTTACCATAACACAGGTTAGAGTCAAAGCAATACATAAAAAGGTATGATCCATGGAGAATGTTAACACTGGCTAACTGATCATGGTATTCCTAGAACACAAATTAGATGGGTAGTCTACTTAAGTCATATCTGACTTCTGTAAGTAGAAAGTCTCTGGATCTAATTACGAGAAATACAACTTAAATCAACACAAATTAGATTACAGGCCCACAACTACTTCTCATAGTAGTTTGCAGACCCAGGACTCTATGAACAAAGAAAAAGAGCCCCATTTAGGAATCCTGACATCCTGCCAAAAAGTTATACACTGCACCAGGTATAATTGGACACTGGATCTGAAATGACAGTAATTCAGGGAGACCTAAGATGTTGGGATGGTTAACCTTCCTTGGGTCAACATGATTGGTTTGGGGATAGCAATGCAATCTCTGGGTGCGTCTGGGCTGATCATGGAGATGTAACCGGGATGTATGCGCCTGGCTGACACTGTCCCCTTACTCTACTTCCTACCTGCCATGACTTATGCTTTACTGCACCTTGTTCTTTTGCCATGAGGTTCTGCCTTACCACCAACCAGCCATGGACTGAGCCCCTAACACCATGAGCCAAAGCAGACCTCTCCTTTTTTTTTTTTTTT